CACCCCAGCTCACAAAAATTATTTCAGGGCATGATGTACTTGTAGTGCAAAAGCTCAGTAAAAATAAAAAGATGTTGTATAAACAAATTCTATATAGCATTTCAGGGTAGTTCTAGACCAATTGCATGTGACGTCAAAGCAGCTCAATTTGGAGGACAAAACAAAAGAATTTTAATCTCCTGAGATTTTGAAACTTATCATTACGTCCTCCAAATTGAGCTGCATTCTGACATCATACTGCAAGGGATCTATTTACGTGTATAGAGTGCACTGTTAATGTTCCACTCCTTGCCACAGGGGTTATACATTCGGTTCCTTTGTCTGCTCTAAAATCAGCGGGTAGGCTTGCTTTTTGAATCACTCAGAAATTCTAGGGTTCTCCTCCATGTTCTCTAGCTTTTCTTTCCTCCATAAAAATCGACATAATTTCTAAATTGATCTTTCTATGACTTTATCAGTGAGGCTGCCAAACGTTTTCAGTTTTCCAACCACATTCAGTGATAAAAATAAACGAGAAACTCCCACTTAGAAATGTTAGTATTGATAATCAAATCCTTGTGGTTTGTTGCCTGACAGGAGATGCTGTTTAGACGAACTTGTAAGATGGTTGAATATGAGAATGCTGTCAAAGCCTTGGAGAAGGCAAAACCACAAAAGAAGGACCAGGTATAGATATCCAACTGACTGGCCACCTGACTGGCCTACAGACAATGTGACTGGCCAACCTTAAGGGACAAAACCTAAGGGACCAACTGACTGACCAAACAGTCCACTGACTGGCCACCTGACTGACCGACAATGTGACTGGCCAAGCTGAAGGGACCAAACCTAAGGGACCAACTGACAGACCAAACAGTCCACTGACTGGCCACCTGACTGACCAACAGACAATGTGACTGGCCAACCTGAAGGGACAAAACCTAAGGGACCCACTGACTGGCCATCTGACGGCCATCTGACTGGCCATCTGACTGGCCATCTGACTGGCCGACAATGTGACTGGCCAACCTGAAGGGACCAAACCTGACGGACCAACTGACTGACCAAACAGTCCACTGACTGGCCACCTGACTGACTGACAATGTGACTGGCCTGACTGACTGACCTGACTGAAGGGACAAAACCTAAGGGACCAACTGAAAAAGGCTATTGAATAAACCTTGAGATTAGGTTTATATTTCCAGTAAGTAATCCTGAGTTTCATATCGAGTGGAAGACCAAGGATACGGGATAACTGCTGACCAGGCAGTATAAAATTAGCATTTTTGATATATGTAGTTGTAGAATACTATTGAGAAACTTTGACAAACGCATCGACAAATCGACAAATGCAGCCCAATTTTGACCAAATGAACAAAATCACTGGAAATTGGAAATATTTATGGCATTGTTTTTAAAGTTGTCCGGTTCAGTTCAACCCAGTTCTTCCACTATATGGAACAGTCCTTCCACTTTATGAAACTCAGCAATCCTTACTGTTGTCGATCAACCAACTGACTAACCCACCAAATGATCCAACAACGGACAGCCAATATTATTTTTATTAACCGAAAAACATGATCATGTTGAAACTTGGTTGCTTTGCATTATAGTGTGAAACTGTGAAGAATGATACGGAAGAAGCTTACAACGACATTACAGAAATGGGAGCCTCTGAGGTATGAGGTTCTTCCATTCACCCTCTCTTCCATCCCACCCCTCCTTTGCATAGTTATATTTCAATAGAGGCTTTGCACCATCATTTGATCGCAGCCATGACAGGAGGCAGGAACAATTGAATCTGGTTTAATCTGATTTACATGAGAAAGAATTCAGTTTCCCAGGGGAGAACGACTCTATTGTTGTGCCTCCTGTCATGGCTGCCATCACGTGATGGTGCAAAGCCTGCATAAAGGGATTTACGGTAGCTATATATTGTGGGGCAAAGACAATTGTAAATTTCTCGTTGCAAATTGAATGAGAGGATCAAGGCTGGCCTCTCCCCTCAGGGATCTCGGCTCCAATTCCTGGAATGGTCATCACATATCAATAGATTTTGTTAGGTCTCTCTCTTGATTCGAGGGTTTTCCCCCAGGTTCTCCGGTTTTCCTCACTCCCTCCACGCTCAATTTCAATTAGATTTGCTGTTAAAAGTTGATTTGCCGATTTGCTGTTGCTATTTAAGTTACCTGTTCTCTGACTTTGATCAGCCAAGAGATTTCAGATATTTGTTTTTACTGGCTTACAGATGAGCCGGTTCAATCGCCAGCGTGTCTTGAGTCTTCAGTCAAGCCTGACACAGTATGCAGAGTCTAGGATCAAGAATGGTCGAGACACCTATGCCGTACTTGCCAAGTTACTAAACGACGTCAAGAAAGCCAGTGATTCTTAACTGGAACGTCTGTAATGAATACCCGCATGGAAATGAAAAAATGGGAAATTGAAAAGATGGTAGTGAACGCTATAGCAGGATGATAGCATGTACAGTTAGTAGTATTATGTGATATATGGACGTCTTTGTGGCTGTCATGATTTATTGATGGAACACTGTAAAGTGGTGTCCCAAAATGAATGCTATTTTTGTTATTATGCGCCTCTTTTTTTTAAGAAAAAAAAATTATCAAATTCTAATTATAAATAATTTACAGGGAAAAGCGTACAAACCATATAGTTTTGTTATTACTTAATTTTGAAGAATTACTATCGCTGATAGGCACATCGTGTGAGAATATTGTTTAGACAGAAAAATGAACCCTCGTTACACTAAATCATCACGCCACATCACTCCACTCCATTCCACACTACATTACTCCACTTGGCATTAAACCACCGCTACCTCATGGATGCACACACAACACACCATACCCATGCGCACAGCAAAACCACACGCATGCGCACACCATTAATTGCAAACTTTATTGGCAAACACCCTCAAAACTCCGCACAGCAAAATCTCACTGAAAAATTTACCAACAAACCAAAAATGTCAGCACCCAACAATTCTGTAACGTTATTTGAGCAAACTTATTTTTTAAACCAGAAAGTAAGGGCCTAAAAAAGAGAGCCTAACTTGACAAGCCAAACGCCTTGAATATGAAAATATTAGGCATTGGTAATATCTGATCCTAAAAGTGCTGGATGATGTTATAATCGTACTTTATAAAGGCATCCCTGTGATGCGTTCAAAAGTCAATTAATATTTCTAGACAGTATTGATCGAGTTCAACAATTTTATACATTAAAAAAATTTAATACTTATCGATTCAAATTCAAAATAAAAACCAAATTTTATTCTTTTTTATGGAAGGTAGTCTTGGTTTTATTATCATGCAAGTTGTTCTAAAGTCGATCAGGCAGCCCTATGTACGATATCAATGGCACCGTCACCCTATTGAAACACTTTCCATCAAGCGATGGATATCCAATTGTCATGATCAGAATACATGGAATATATATAATTGCGTGCGTTTTYCAACTGTCGATCAACTGCTTAATCCAATATTCCTATATCCTGGAATTAGAATAGTCCCCTTCACAGTTCCCTGCGCCATCTTGAAAGGTAGCCGTGCCTTTGCATCGAAGCGAGACGAACGGTGAGCTTGCGATGATAGAGACCTTTTTTAACACCTTGGACAATTATTCATATGTCTCTGTCATTGCAAGCTCACCGTTCGTCTCGCTTCGATGCAAAGGCACGGCTACCTTTCAAGATGGCGCAGGGAACTGTGAAGGGGACTTTTTGAGTTTACGAATCACATATTTAGAAACAAAAGACATGTCCGCCATGTTGGATGATATCACAAAAGACATGTCCGCCAAGTTGGATGATATAGCAAAGACATTTCCGATGATATCACAAAAGAATTCTACAAAACACTGAAGAAGTTTATCCAACATGGCGTATATGATCACGTGCTTACCAGTTTTGCGCTACTCCCACGCGTAATTTCTTTTTATTTAAAATGTAATGTTACAGCTGTGACTTACATAATTACCTGTGTGAAGTGTAACAACTAAAGCACTAGCGCAAGAGTAGTTCCAAACAAATAGGAACATAATAGATCTCTCTTGCTTAAGTAGCGGTCCATTTACCCACGGCTTACTAACGTATGTGACATAAAGTTGGGAAAGCTGTATCAATACTTCTGGCGTGGTTGTTTTATCGACTCCATGGTAGTTTATTTTTATTTTATTTTTCTATTTGTAACAAGACCACCTGAAAAAGGTAGGGAAGGAAAGACAGATAGACAGACAGAAAAACAGACTGAGGGACAAAAGAAAACAGAGTGAGAGAGATGGACCTTCATCACGCGTTGGCCATGTTTCTCAAGATAATAAAGATGTGTTTCGCCCATATAATCTTTTTACGAACTTAAATGCGAGTCTACGCGTGGTGGAATCTATTGTTCAAACCAACATGAATGCCGCGTTAAAAAAGCCCATGATATAATGGCTACATAAATCTTGAAAGCATTAAATTCAGGTGAACTGGTTGTCTTCGTTTTCCCCCCTCAAATCTGAGGTGGTGTCATTATGCTCTTGGTAAAGTCGTTGGGGAAAGCTGCACAAACGGGAGAAATTTTCTTTTTCTAGAGTACAGGCTGTAGGTCACACTTAGACCAAACTCTTCAGATATATCTAGATTGGTTACGGTTTTGTTTTTGTTTTTACTATGGTTTCATTTTGTTCATGATAGCCTTGCGTGGGCCCAATGAAGCTGCGCAAGCACTGGAGACATTTCCTTCTTCATACACTGGGTCTCAATTGTATCTGAGTAAACTCTTCGGTTTTATCTCGATTGCTTTTATTTACTGCTCTCCACAAGAGTCCTTGGTTTCCTCTTATCAGTTAATGTAGCGCTTGAAAAAATGGACTCCAAGTTTACTCTGCTGCTCGGCACTTAAGACAAACAGTTCCTACGAAATGGTATAAATAGTTGAGCCGAGACCAGAAAGCTATCATTCTTCTTTGGAAGCCAACTGAGCGATATAGAAGACTACTAAACTGACAAGATGAAGGCTGTCTTTGTTGCACTTTGTTTGATTGTAGCTGTAGTAGCTGAGGACAGAGAGCGTCGATTCTTGGTCAATGTAAGTAATGGGAGTTTTGCTAGTGCGTCTCGGCATGTTTTAGAATTCTATGAAACAATGTGTAAGGAAATAAGACAATATGAGTTTTTTTTAAATATTGAAATATTTCCTCTCAGCGTTGCTCCGCGGAGTCTGACTGTGGTGCTAACAAGTGCTGCCTGTTCAACAAAGTCTGCTCACCCAAGCTTCCTAAGTACTCTACCTGCCATCTTACGGTAAGCTTCTATTTGCTATTGTTTCTCTGCTAGCGGGGTCATCTGTCCCTCGTAACGTTTTTCATGCTCATTAGCTTACCTAACAGATCTAGAGGGGTCCAGATCTGTATTAGATATCCTACGCCCCACCATATAGTAAAATTATCACTTCTTTTGTTCTAGCCCCTGTCTGCATGGCCACTGTTGACCGAACATTCAATTTGTGTCAATCGCTAATACAGGAGGGCCCATTCTCTTGCAACTAAAATTTCTAATTTTTCTTAGAACCCTACTTAGTGGAGAATTCCTCAGACTATGTAGTATACAATTAGAGACCACCTTGCCTTCCGAGTAAAGCGCACCAAATCCTACATTGCTAATGATGAGAATTATGTATTATGACGTCACTATATAACCTTTTTAGTTTTTCATATGTTGTGTCAAATGTTTTCCCATTTCAGACCACGTGTCATTTCCAAGAGTATCATTTCTTTGTTTAACGGTTGCACATGAGAAGATACATGAATATGGATACAACTCAAACCAATAATCTTATTCTGAGAATGACACGTGGTCTTAAATTGAAAAAGCACTACGGGCAAACTAAAAGCGTTTATTCCAAATCCGTTTTCGTAATGAGAATTTCAGTGATGAGTAAGTGCAAAATATATTATTTGTATCTATAAAGAGTTTAACAAACTGTGGATGTGCTGATGGTCTTGAATGTCGCGTCACCAAAGAGTTTGAAGTGCTGGGACAGAAAGTTCAGCTTCGTCAGTGTATGACCATCGGAGAGCAAAGCGTAGTGGAAAAAATTGAAAATGAAGAACTCAAGGAATTGTCCCAGACCAGGAAGAGGAGGTTCCTTATTGATGTGAGTAGGGTTTAGTAAAGTAAGACAACGAAATTCTGAAATTGTTGAAGCGAAATTTGCTTGGAATTTCTTAGTTTTCTGATGAACACATGCCCGATGAAAGAGCGACAATAGACTTAAACGAACCCTTTTTTCGGTGAGATGCGCAAGCACACCTCTAAAATAGCTAGCGAGGGCGGGAATCTTGGGGTTAAAAATAGAAAGAAAATTTTGAAGCATTTTTTGATACAAAAAAATAGGACTCATTTACTCAGCGTTGGCGGCGCAAGCAGACGCTACTCCGTGTTCTTACTATTGAAAAACAAAAAACAAAAAAAACAATGCAAGCGCAAACGCAACGGACGATTTTGCTTTTCTTGCGGTGGCTTGTGCTTATGCTAATGTTTGCATCGTGAGTACGAACCAGGATTTAGATATTATTTCCAGCAATACAAAAACTTCGAAATTTCATGTACCTTCACTGTCCATAACACAAGTTGCATACACGAGGCTAATCCCGAGAGTAACAGAGAACTCAAAAGTAGAGTATTTTCTTTCTAGACTTGTGCTTCCGAGTCAGACTGTGGTGATGGAAGATGCTGCTTGTTCGATAAAATATGCGCCAAGAAGATCCCTCAGGACATGACGTGTTATTTGCAGGTAAGCAAGTAAATGGTGTATTCATCAGGATTGATTTCTATCGATTATTTTTTCCTATTCGTATTTATCTCCGATCTGGTCTTCAGACAAGCCCTCTATGCATTGAAGTCTTCTTAAGGAACAATTGAATCTGGTCTAATCTGATTTACATGAGAAAAAATTCAGTTTCCCAGGGGAGAACGACTCTATTGTTGTGCCTCCTGTCATGGCTGCCATCACGTGATGGTGCAACGCCTTTATAAAGTACTTTGCACTCGCTTCGGAGCTTAGTTTTCAGCCTTTTTTTTCTTTTTCAGCACAAACACAAGTGCGGCTGCGCTGATGGTTTGGAGTGTCGCGTTACCACTACCATCGTCCTGCCAATCAGTGGAACGAGAATACCCATCAGGCAATGCGTACCCCCCAGTGCCTAGTGCCCTCCCATCTAACTATGGTCTCTCCATTGTAACAAGGGATCATTACTGATCGTCATTACTGTTAAACCTTATAGACTTAGATGTAAGACATTAAAATTGATCTAAAACCAAACGTTTTTAGTCAAATCTATCTTAGCTTCAAACTAAAATGACTTGCAAACATTTCCTAGAGAATGAAATAACGAAAGACGCGGTCATTCTTATCGAAATAACAAAAGAATCTAATAAAAATCCTTTCCATAAATTCAATCAACATGGCGGCTATTAGAACTAGCGATCGTTTCGGTCAGCTCGTCATCAATTAGAATGACCTGTGCGCTTATGAATCTGGTGCTACAGGATCGTTATGATTTTGTGCCATACGCTAATTGTTATTTTTTGGCCCTTTTTGATTCAGGTACTTTGCACATTATTTAGGTGGTGTACACTGATGCGCGCTGATATGCGGCAAATCCCCACTAATTGAACACATGTGCTTATGGCGCACATGCTGGGCGAGACTAAGTAAATGTTCATGCAGTTCACAGTAGGAAAAATGTCTGTATTCATCTTATGCAGACTTTGTTACCGAATAATAACTTTCGGTTTTAAAACTCCTATAACTACTAGTTTGAAATGATTTTTCTGATTTATTTATCTGCTTTTAGTTTAGTAAGATATTATTTCACCTACTTTTCTTTAGTGAGAGCCCAACTTGTTTCGCTAGCCCCATCCACTCGTACCTTCATCCTGAGTAATCCTTCCTAAAGTGCCTGGAGAGTTAGTCTAGAAGACTGTTTGTACAGGCATTTGTTTTATTGATTCTAATGCGAACTAGATTCATCCTCTTGAAATCTTGACCACTTCTCAAAGTCTCGTGTGATGTTGAAGTTCACCTAAGTCATCTAGAAAATAGATATGATATCAAGGAGCTGACTCTGAGAGGTGTTTGTTATAATGCGTCAAATTTTACCTCTGTGGCCGCGCATGAATTTGATACGCAAACTCGCCAGCAGGTGAGATTGGAGTTGGTTGTTGGTATTATTTAGTTTTCCACCCATCGCAATAAATCAATCCCTAAATCCCAATTTTTACGATGCGTAAATCATCATTCGAAACTGCGCAATCACTCGTTGCTTTTCCTAAGGAAAATTAAATTACAGTTTAAAGTCAAATTGAAAAAGGTAGGTCTTTAAAAAACTTGTTTAAGAGAAAGGGGCATCAGTAGTAATTCTTTAAGACATCAATACCAAAGTCTATGAATCTCAATTTTGTAATAGTTTCTAGTTTCATTCATAAATCAGCGCAGAAGATTAGTGTTAGGATTTTTAGGTCAGCTTTAAAAAATTCCATCAGTAGTAAAAAGTTATATCTACAGAGTGCAAACCATATATAGTGAAAAGACTTTGTAAGAAATTGCACAAGTTGGCGCAAATTAGTAAGGTCACGGCAGTAAACCGTAGACGTACAAAAGTTTGCACTTATAATTATTTGTACAATTTTGTTAGTTAACGTTTTCACGGACATGCTTTATTCGCTTGATAGGTCAACAATAACTAAAAATACTTTAGTTTTGAATGCCTGTGTATAATTTATTAGCATTTACTAGTACTGCACATGTTTACAAGGTTCAACTAGAAAAGTGGTCATTTTAATTTAGCTAAGACTTCCGGTCCTGGTTGACGTTGGGCTGTATTGACCAAGACTTCTATTCTCGCACGCACTGCCTGATGGGTATTTTTGAGCCAATGATAGGGATGGTGATGGTGGCGGTGACTTTACACACCAGACCGTCTTGACATCCGCACTTGTGACGATTCTGAAGGGAAAAGAGCGAATCGGTTAGTTAAGTCAGTGATTAACTACTTGCCAACTATTTGTGAACCTGGTTGGCTTCACTGTTAGTAGCTGTGTCAAGTACATGTATTATACAGTATACATGATACACGCGATTTTTTAACTTGTCAGCCTTTTTAGCGCAAACCAATACGAGAAAAAGATAAAGCGAAATGAAGTCTCTCTGTATATCCCTGTTCGCCTTCCAGGCGTCCATTGGTCTTTGCGTTTGTCTATCTGTCCGTTTTCATCTCTCTTCTTCATACGTCTGTCTGTTTTTCTATATATCCATCTCGTCCTGTCCGTCTGTTTTTCTGTTTATCCGTCGGTCTGTCTGAATGACTAATCGTCGGCCTGTCTATCTGTCCGTCCACCAATTCCGTCTATCTATCTGTTTGCAAACCAGTACTGACCGTCAAATAGCATGTCATTCCTTCTGGGATCTTCTTGGCACAGATTCTTCCAAACAAGCAACACCTGTTATCTCCACAGTCGGTTTCTTTTGTGCATCTCTGGTTATGAAAAAATGAAAGTTAGTTCTATAAATTATGGATATGATAAGATACAGCATATTCAGAATAACACCTACATCGAGTAAGAATCTCTTCTCTCTGGATTCGGTCATTTCCTTCAGTTCTTCGTCTTCAATTTTTTCTACTTCAAGCTGACGACCAGCTTCCATACACTGACGCATCTGGACTCTCTGTCCTAGGATGTTGAACTCCTTGGTGACTCGGCATTCGAGGCCATCTCTACATCCACATTGGGTAATTCCCTAACGATAATCAAAATTAGTTAAAATATATCATCAGAAAGTGGAAGTATAAAAACGCAACCATAAGCGCAAGCCAAGCTAGGGTGACTTGGCTGGCATGTGCTGTTATGACACACCGCTGTCTCTCACCGCTGTGTAATTCAAGCGCCTTCGATTCTCGGCTTAACCGCATATGTAAGTTGAGTTTGTTTGATAACAGTCTCCCTTGCCACGAGAGTTTTTTTTTTTCGGGATCTTTTTCTCCTCTCCGTAACAACGAAACATGTGTTGATCGTTGTCATAGTGAACGCATTTATAGTGTGTGTAGAGCGAGCCTCAGGAGCTCCTTGAGGAAAGGGATGGCTGCAAAATATATAAATATACATAAACCACGAAAGGGAAACTTTTGAGCTCCCAAGTAAGGTCCGAAAAAACGAGGTGCCCCACCCTTTTCGGAAGACTAAGGAAAACCATCGCATCCCACAAAGGTGATCTTCCATATAATATTACGCTAAATAAGCAGGTTTTACTTACAGAAAGATGGCAGGGAGCATACTTGAAGCGGAGTTTTGGTGCACAATATTTATTAAACAGACAGCATCTGTTGGGACCGCAATCGCTTTCAGAAGAACAACGCTGAAAAACGAAACAGTAGAATTAGATATGGAGACACGAAGAGAAAATATGGCTCTTATTCAGACATTTCCTAGATAGATAATACCTTAATGAAAAACAAGCGTCTCTCTCGTATTCCTGTCTCGGCCGCAACAGCTACAACGAACAGACACAATGCAAGGAGTACAGTATTCATTTTGAATGTCCGAGTCACTGGGGTAGTACACAACGATTGAAATCTTCAAATCTGTGTGACCTTAGGATAATTTTCAGGAGATTTTATACCACACCATGTAAATATCGAAATCAAGTTAGTTTAGTTTGCTGTACAGCAGGATAAATATTATTCCACTTTGGAGAAAGAGGGTTCTTACTTTGTTGGAGGTAAAAGGTTTAGTGATACTTTACCACTCGATGGCTTGAAGAGCGTGCGTAGGAGTTAGTAATTTTCACACACCTAAAATCTTCTGCGCTCAACTCTGTCAATTAAGAAATGACGCATGAACAATACCAATGTAGAAATGTTCAGTATAGTTTAGTAGAGTCTTATCGGATGTCCATCAGCTTCTTTACCATAACTTGGAAATTTCTCTCGCGCTGATTGGCTTAGAATCATTGACGATTAGAGGCTAGACCTGCTTGTGCTTACGATATCCGTCACGCGCACTGAGCGAGCGGATGAAACGGCTTTTTCAAACTATTTGCTTGTCTTTTTGTTCAATTTTTTCAACTTTGTTATGGTAAACGCGCCACACACCTTACAATATATAGAAAGTTAAAAATTACAATTTTACCACGGCAAATATCAACTGTTTGAATGCTACTTTGCTTTTCTTATGTGTAGTTCTTCAGTGTTGACGGGCTTATAGTTTCCCATCTCAGATGGACTGTTCATGCACATCGTAAAAGTCTTTGATACAATTTACCTTAATTCCAAACGAAAAAAGAAAAAAAAAAGAATTGTCCTAATATGAAGCATAATTTGAAAAAGTCCACGCCCCCTTCGCATATATATGAATGTTTTTTCCTTTAAATTTCTATTTTAACAAACTGATTTTGTAATTTGATAATTATGATAGTAGCATTTTGTTATTCTGTTAACTCTTTCCTTCCTTTCCTCCTTTATCAAATAATAAATAGTACTGAACATTTTTCAGTGGATTTCTGTTCCTCTTGAACTAACGATGTTCACGAAGTAAACTCTTACAAGTTTTGTTTAACAAGCTAAACAAATGACATGTTCATACAGAAACGTTTTTGCTGCAGCGTTGGGTACTTGTCTATATAAGAGGACATAGTAGCAAGACACATGTATCTTAATATCTAAATCTCTATGGATATTTTTCTCGCGTCGTTTCTGAATTGAAAGAGTTGAGCGCAGAAGATTTCACATGTCGTTCAGTTGTAAATCACTGAATCCTACTTACGCTCTTCAAGCCATCGAGTCATAAGTATCAGTAAACCTTTCACCTCCAACAAAATAAGAACTCTTGAACGTTCTCCGAAGTGGAATACTATTTATTCTGCTGTACAGCAATCTAAACTAACTTGATTTCGATATTTACATTGTGTGGTATAAATACTTCTGAAGGTTATCCTAAGGTCACACAGATTTGAAGATTTCAATCGTTGTGTACTAGGCATAGCCCGGTGACTCGAAGACATTCAAGATGAATACTGTACTCCTTGCATTGTGTCTGTTCGTTGTAGCTGTTGCGGCCGAGACAGGAATAAGAGAGAGACGCTTGTTTTTCATTAAGGTATTATCTATCTAGGAAATGTCTGAATATGAGCCATATTTTCTCTTCTTATCTCCATATCTAATTCTGCTGTTTCGTTTTTCAGCGCTGCTCTTCTGAAAGCGATTGCGGTCCCAATAGATGCTGTCTGTTTAATAAATATTGTGCACCAAAACTCCGCTTCAAGTATGCTCCCTGCCATCTTTCTGTAAGTAAAACCTTCTTACTTAGCGTAATATTTTGGGGAGCTATGAACTTGTAGGACGCGATGGGTTTCCTCCTTCCTGAAGGGTGGGGCACCTTGCCTAAGGTGTCTAGTTTTTTCGGACCTTACTTCATGGGAGCTTACAATTTTCCCTTCCTTGGTTTATGTATATTTTGCGCTGCCATCCCTTTCCTCAAGGAGTTTTTCCCTCAGGCTCGCTCTACACACACTTCAACTGCGTTCTCTTTAACAATTTTCAACTTACATGTTGTGTTGTTATCGTCGGGAGAGGAGAAAGAGATCCCCCAAAAAAATCTCTCGTGTCAAGGAAGAGAAAACACATCAAACTCAACTTACGTATGCGGTAAAGTCGAGAATCGAAGGCTTCAATTATACACAGCGCTGAGCGCATGCCAGCGAGTAACGATTATTGTGTTATATCTTACATATCTTCTTCTGACGATGTATCTTGACTAACTTTTGATTATCGTTAGGGAATTACCCAATGTGGATGTAGAGATGGCCTCGAATGCCGAGTCACCAAGGAATTCAACATCCTAGGACAGAGAGTCCAGATGCGTCAGTGTATGGAAGCTGGTCGTCAGCTTGAAGTAGAAAAGATTGAAGACGAAGACCTGAAGGAAATGACCGAATCCAGAGAGAAGAGATTCTTACTCGATGTAGGTGTTTTAATCTCACATGTGACATATAAAATTAATGTATCAAATATAGCTTTGATTCTCGAGCGGTTTTCGTATATCTGAACATTTGTTTCTGTACCTTAGCCGTACCTTGTGATTGGGTGAGACAAACAAAAACAATGGGAAGCCATTTCAAAGTTACGGCATTTCGTAGCGTGCATGTTCTGTCATTCAGTTCCGTGCGTTTCTTACCTTCATACGGAAACAGTTCTAATACATGTGTTGTTTAAAAAAAAACGCTATCTGTACTGCTACATTGTACCTGTATTTTTTCGTAGTTTGATGACCGCAGTTTTGATTCAGTTAAATCTGATGCGCTAAAGCCCCGTTTACACTGGCGATTTTTGCGGCGATTTTGCTGCGATTTTTGTGGCAATTTTCGAAAATATGAAATCTTTTGTCTCATCCTTCAAAAGAGACATTCGTCTAGGAAAATCTTGGTATCCTGAAAAAAACTTTACAAGTAAATTCTTTACCATTATTCATTATGGAAAAAATCGCAACAAAAATCGCCGCAAAAATCGCTAGTGTAAACGGGGCTTAAAAGGGGTAGGAGCCGCTGAAACATGAAGGAAAAGAATGAAAAAATAAGAGGAAGTAAAATAGGGAATCTCAGCAAAACTATCCTCCTCTGGGCATGAAATTTCTACCAAACGATGAAAAGAGGTGAACTGAATATGCTGTATTTTATTATATTCATTATTTATCTGACTAACTTTATATATTTTTCATAACCAGAGATGTACAACAGACAACGACTGTGGAGATAACAGGTGCTGCTTGTTTGGAAGATTCTGTGCCAAGAAAATCCCAGAAGGAATGACATGCTATTTGACGGTCAGTACTGGTTTACGAACAGACGGACGGAGGGACGGATGGACGACACCTAGAAAGCGCACAGGGATATACAGAGAGACTCCATTTCGCTATTTTTATTTTGTTTTCTCGTTCGCACTTGAAAGTTGAAAAGTTGAAAAATCGCGCGTACTGGACAAAACTACAGCGAAGCCAACCAGGTTCACAAATATTTGGCAAGTCGTTAATCACTGACTCAACTAACCGGTTTGACGTTTTCCTTTTAGAATCGGCACAAGTGCGGATGTCAAGACGGTCTGGCGTGTAAAGTTACCACCAGCATTACCATCCCTATCACTGGCCAAAAAATACCAATCAGGCAATGCGTACGGGAATAGAAGTCTTGCTCAATACAGCCCAACGTCAACCAGGACCGGAAGTCTTAACTTAACTTRAAACCACTTTTTTCTAATCTATTGAATCTTGTAAACATGTGCAGTAAATGCTAATAAACTATTCACAGGCATTCAAAAATTTGTATGTTGTGATCTTACCGGATGTCCATCAGCTTATAGAGACTCTGTAGATAGCAAAGGGAGGTTCAAAGGGGATTTTCTCCGCTACAGTTTCATTACAAACACGGGTTTTCTTGAAAATAGTTAAACTTCCTTGCTTGACAATCAAATCAGCAAATTTTAGAAAAAGAGAAAAATGGAAATCATTTTATTTATTTGAAGATCTCCCTGCGGTATCAATGTCAGTATATGCGTCCTTTTGCCATCCGACGTGAACCTTGCAAGGTATTTAGCTTGTACAGCTCACTGCGTCGCGGCCTTTTTCAGTACTTTTCAAGATACATGTAATAAATAACATGATACAAAATACAATTTTTACCGCGTCTATAGTCTGTAAGTATCAACTGCTTGAATGCTACTTTGCTTGTCTTGTGTCCAGTTCTAGTCTAAGCTTATCATTCGGTTTCCCTCTCAGATAGACTGTAAGATTTAAAAGTCTTTATATAATCTTATATTTCTACGGTCCAATAGATAGGTAAAATGCGGAACGAAAAAAAAGAAATAAAAATACAAAAAATAAAAAAAAGGATTGTTCTAAAATTTAGTAAAATTTAGCAAAGATCCACGTAAGAGAACTTCGTATATACACTGTATATATAGCAACCATATACCACCATGTATCCGTAAAATATACTAATTATAGTACAAAATAGCACCAATAAAAACAGATGAGTTTAGTGTTACTATCGTTTTCGTGCTATCATGGATATACACCTATTTCAGAAATCGTTGTCGCACCAAAAGCCTCAAGCAACAAGCCAAGACCGCAGAGAACGCCGGTACTTTTTGCTGTAATTAGTTTATTTATGGTGAATTTTCATTTATTGACTTCACGAATTGCTCCAAGCAAGGCTGCTTCAGATGGAGAGCTATATCCACTTGCATGAACCATGAATAAATCAATTATAATTAAAAGTACCGACGTTCTCTGGAACCTTGGCTTGTTACTTGAGGCTCTTGGTGCGACAACGATTTTCGAAATAGGAGCATATGGTTTGCACTCTAAACGAACTGATAGAGTGCAAACAATATATCCGTGAAACTTTAGTAATACTAAATAGCACAATTTCATGCAAATTCCATTGTTTTCTATTGTTTAACTAGCACTATTTTGTACTATTTAGTACTTATAGTGTTTCACGGATTTACTGTGGTCACTCTACTGTAATTTGATAATTATATGAGTAACATATGAGTAAACGTTTCTTCGATCTTTCCTTTCTTCGGCTTCCCTTTTTTAGTTTCATTTTGATCAAATAGTAAATAGTACTGAATATTTTTTCAGTGGATTTCTGTTTCTCTTGAACTAACAATAATCAGGAACTAAACTATTACAAGTTTTGTTTATCAAGCTAAACAAATACTAATTTATACAGAAACGTTTTTGCTTTAGCGTTGGGCACTTCTCTTTTAAGAGGACACTTGCATTGTAAACTGCAGTTACGCAAAGCAACAATGCCACTTTAGTCATCAAACATTGCTGAATCAACAAAGCATTTACACTGCTGCTCATCCTTAAAGCCATTTATCCCATCATGTTACATCTGAGGATGGTATAAAAAGGCTACTGGAACACTATGTTAGGTACATTAAGACTAGCAACTCTAAACACATATATATAGCTTTTGGTGAGGCGCCGAGACAATTCCTGCTCCAACATGAAGGCTTTGATTATTGCACTGGCTGTGGTAGTAGCAGTTTATGGGGAACCAATGGAAAAACGGTTCTTGATTGATGTAAGTTTAATCTTTTTGCCATATATCAGAAGCGTAGAAGGGGCTAGACGCATCCTTTCTTAAATTTCAAGCTGCTATTGAAATATTTGATAACATATATTTTTTCATAGCGAAAAACTAACCAAGAGCTTTTCTTTCTACCAGCGTTGCTCGTCATCGTCGGAATGCGGTGCTAACAAGTGCTGCCTGTTCAACAAAGTCTGCTCACCCCAGCTTCCTAAATACTCTACCTGCCATCTTACGGTAAGTTAACAAGCATATTTTTTCCAATCGAAGCGCCAGTTTAGGTAGGTTGGGTTCTGGCTTCCCCCCTGTAAAAATCAGCATGCGTATTATTTTTATTTCGATCTGTGTGTCAGCCGTAATACACCCTGACTTAGCCTTAACCCAAATAAGGGTTCAGGGTTCAATAAAGATTGATGCTTATAATTTGACCTGCAATTTGAGGTGCGATGATCAACTAAAAAATTCAGTATCAAGCATAGACTTTTATAAATAAACTCAATATTGCTGTAACCATGCTAATAAATGCCTTATTGGTCGCAAAAAAAAAATCTTTATTTAAGTCGTGATAAGGGGGGTCAGAGTTGCCGATCTCCGATTCATTTAAAAGTACATAAGACACTCCACACTCACTTCCACTAAAATATTCTAACACACAACTCTCAACTCACGTTGGTTTTTGTGGAGGGAGGAAAACCCCAGAAAAAACCCTCGTGGCAATAGAAGAGAACGACATATCAAACACTGATGTGTTGCTTCTGCATAAATTTCAAAAGCTTTCTTCTTTTTCCACCCAGAGTGTTACTTCTTGTGGATGTGCTGATGGTCTTGAATGTCGGGTCACTAAAGAGTTCTCAGTGTTGGGCCAGAAGATTCAGCTTCGTCAGTGCATGGAGACTGGTCTAGAATCACGTGTGGAGAAGCTCGAAAATGAGGAGGAAGAGGAGCCAGGCAAAAGAGAGAGGAGATTTTTGGTTGACGTTAGTAAAAAAACATTTTATGCAAGGTTTATGAGTGAGGCAAAGCTGTGATGCTCTAGCTTTCATTGCTTCAGATTAGAATGACAAAATTGAAACTAACTGAGAATAAGGGGTTAATGTTAATATATATGGAACTGTCGACCAAAAGGAAAAGCACACTTCTGGATGAATGAAGGGTGCGGGTGAAAACTAGCATAGATCCATTGCACTGAGTCCCCAGAGCATTTGTTATGGGGGACAAAACAATGGATTTTTTTGCACAAGAAAAACAATTCCTTTAGGAAATCGATGCAATGGGTCTATAATCTACATGTAACTGGATTATATTATCCCTCTATCCCCTTAATTTAGCTCGTAGCCCGTAAAAGAATATCCCAAAAGTTGGCTATAGTATATTTATATAGTAGAAAATTTTAAAGATGATCATTTTTGTTCTCGCGACAGAAATGCACAGCAGAAGCAGACTGCGGAGCTAACAAATGCTGTCTACTGAATAAAGTTTGCGCTCCTAAGCTAACAGAAGGATCAACCTGCTTCTTGTCGGTAAGTCCCATAGATACCAAGTCAGTTGTTTACTGAGAATGAGTCAATCTGTCCGAGTCACATGCACCAGTCCACAATTGAATCTGATCCGTTGGCCAGAAATGGCTCTTGATCTAGCGCACCCTAATCTTTTAATGTTCAACGATGGAATCAGACAATCATCAGATAATCATTCTATTTAGTTTTCTTTGATATTTCTTATTTTCTTTTTTTTTTACCCCAGCAACATCACAAGTGTGGGTGCGCTGATGGCCTGGAATGCCGTGTAACCACCACTATTACAATCCCTCTGCTTGGTACAAAAATACCCATCAGGCAGTGCGTTAAGCCCGAATAAGTCGAAGGAGTATGCTGGATAAATGTTTCTTGAGTTTTTGATTCCAAATTTGTAAATTTTGTCAAAATGGAGTCACTTTAATAAAGACTTGATCCAATAAATTCTTTCATCACTAAAACGCTCTCTGGATTTTCAGTTAATCGGGCAGCAATCTTCTCTTTCTATATACACTTATGAAGAGATAAACAGTTTTTATTATATAGATATCGATGAAATACCAGGTTTTCTCTAGTGTTGAAAACTTGATATCTTTCACCAGTGGAAGATACCATATCTTTCACACGTGAAGATATCGCTGTTGAATCTTTTGTTTTATTTAAGTTTCATCGATATCTATATAATAAACAGAACATTACATGGCCGCTTGGAGATACGAATTTTATCTTCTCATGTTCAATTTAGATATCTCACTCGTTCGCTAAGCTCACTCGCGCCCATGTAATATCCTCTATCTTCGATGCCGAGAGGAATACGGTGAACGGAAATGAGGTGGAAGTTAGGCACTTATATGTGCGCGCGGCGGGAACTGGGAAATGCTGGCCCGCTTAGGTAGACAAGTCGCAATAATATCATATAAACAGAGATCATAACAATATAAAAGAAAGAAAATACCGAGAATAGAAACCAAGTGGAGGAAAAGCTCTTGTCAGAAAACTGTTTCCAGGAGGCATTTAAAATTAGGAAATACGCTCGTTTTTTCCGATCGAGATTGCTTACTAAAACTGTTAATTTTAGTGAATACGAGCAAAAAGGAATTGGGTAGTCACTCTTTCTAAAAAGATATAGCTAAATTAATAATGATATGCACCAAAAAATCTTATCTGGATACGATGGGGCTCGAACTCTTCTATAAAATTAAAAAAAAACAAACAAAAACAAAAAACAAAAAACAAAAAAAACAAAAAAAAAAAAACGACTCCACTTTGCCATACCCCCGAGACATCCGCAGAGCTGAGGCGGCGTATGGACTTCGGACCTGACGGCGATTAAATCCTTCTGCCCTTGGGTTGTACGAATTACGCAAGAAAATGTTCTAGCCGAAGCATCAGGGGAGAGACCAGCCGGCCCCCAGACCATATCGGCTAATCCCTTGCATCTCTGCCACGCACGGAATCGGTTGAAAAWTTRATGTTAAAAAGTYTAGTCTATCCGGCGCATTGTTTTCACGGCTATTGTTATGCTGATTTACCTTGAACCGTGGTCCAGTGGAAAAAACTTAGGCTTCAATATCATGACGCAAAGTCAAGTCCGGTTGAGCGAAGTTAGTACCTGGATGGGTGACTTGAAATTTATGCCTACTTAATTTTTTTTAAATTATTAATTTCTTTTTGTTTCGTAACTTTCCATCGACTACGATGAAACTAAGCTCATGCAATTAACAACTTGTCTAGCATGCAGCAACTTGTTTCTTATTTGTAGCGAGCAACCTGAGCAACCTACGTAGGCTTTGCCTCATGCGCCACCCTCCCCCACCCTCCATTACCCACAATGCTTTGGGAAACAGGACACAGGTATCCCAAAACTAGAACTGAGAGTGTTATTAAACATGGCGTCTACTTATTGTGGAGAGTTTGTGGAAGAATCTCACGCTCACTTGTTTGGTTAAAAAATATGAGCGAAGAAGGTGAGTTTTAAATGTTAGGAAAGTCCTATTTATTATCCAAATGTAGTCGTTTATAGAATAGTCTACAATGAAGAGGCTGTTTGACTACAAGATGCATTTGCCAGAAGAAGAATTATGCTTGAATGATTAAGATGGAAAATATACAAAACTAGCTAGTTTAAACGAGTACTGTTTCTAAAAGAGATTGTTCAATAGCATGTTCTAATAGTTTCGTTAATAGTGCTTAGCTTATACTAAAAGATATGTATGCATTTGTAAAGCTTACATAGTATACTATATATTACTTTTTTTCCAAGATGGCTACTTTAACTGAGTAAACAAAGGCATGCGTATTTAAGCAACCTTCAAAGTTCTATTCTCCTTTACTGGCTATCCTTCTCATACTATTTTATGGGTGACTTAATATGGTATGGTATAGCTAGAGCTATCTCTTTTTGTTTGGAGGAGGAAAACAGAAGACTTGTCCCTAGCACCAGGGTCACCCTGCCTTCATGTAACTAGGCAACAAAAGACTTGTCCCTAGCAAAGGGTAACCCTACCTTCATGTATCTAGGCAACAAAAGACTTGTCCCTAGCACCAGGGTCACCCCACCTTTATGTAACTAGGCAACAAAAGACTTGTCCCTAGCACCAGGGTCATCCTACATTCATGGGCTAATATTTTTGTATTTTTATGTTATTACTTACAGCCTTGATATATTGATGGTATATAGCTGGCATGCATACATAAGTCAGATGATCATGTGACCCAGAAATATGGTTATTGGACACAAAAAGACATACTAAGGCATATGGTAAGATATAGGTATTATTATCATCATCATCATCACCATTATTATTATTTATTACAAATTATTATTATTATTATTTATTATGAATTATTATTATTTTAAATAAATAATAATTATTATTATTATCAATAATAGATAATCAAAATGAAGCGCCATATTACAATACCGTGGACTGCTAGTGTCCACATACATTTTATATCATTGAACATTATTAAGTTTTAGAAAACCTTTATATAAAAGTTATTGAGGAAATATATAAGATTTATGGCAATATTATAGATTAAATGCTACTTGCTATGCAATAGTTACCCAGGTCATATCCAATGCTTTGACCATTACACCTCATATGGGCCACATCTAGGCCACTTGGACATTTTTTTGCCATGTCTTTATTACCTTTTGGAACATGCCCATCCCAGGGTCATAGTAGTGTCATAGATGCCTTAGGTGTTGGCACATATTTTTGCTGTAAAGTTTCAATAGTCTTGACTGTTTGCAAAAGTACTTTTCTAGTTTCACTTATACTATAAAAATATAGCAACCCATTATAAAAAAATCTTTTATTAGTACTCTGAAACAACCTCTGGACTAATGAAAGTCAGGGCATGGCTTATTCACCAATTTAATTAATGTGTTAATGTGATACATGAATGCAGTGCACAATGTTTATTCCACTGTATATATTAAATGTTAAGATATTGTGTTTATCCTACTATAGCAATGTTTATGCTGAGGTCACCTATTGATATTAATGTACCAATCAGAGCTCTTACTAGGCTATTGAAAGAAAGAGATCTTTTGTTTTAATGGTTGGCAAATTGAGAAAGATTCCTGACGTCAATGTCTGTAAACAGTGAATATTGCTATATACTAAGATATAACCATCGTTTTGATAACCTATAGTTGTCAATCATTTTCTTTGCTCTCCTACAATATGACAGTATGAATATCATTTGTGTGTTAAAACCACACATTCTGTGAGTGTTTACTAAATCTAAACAATCAGTTGGACCAACTCTATCAACTTCTCCTTGTCTTCTTCACTGATAATATAGCAATAGCATTGTCATCAGTAACTATAGCCACATTACAATATCTATCAATCACACATTTTGTATTCTAAATCCAAGGTATGGCATTAATTTAAATTGCCTCTCATTGCTTTCTTCACTTACAATATCTATCCACAGTATCACACATTCTAAATCTAAGGTATAACATTCATTTGAATTGTCTCTATCAGCTTTTCTTCACCATTGTTCACTAATACTATAACAGTGGCAGTGTTGTCAGTACCAATAGCCACATTCGTAGGAGCTCGAAAAGAAACACTGAAGAACCCCATCCGTCCTCTTCTGATTCTTCGTCTTGTTCTGCGTAGTGGTTGAGCAAATCCCCTCTTATCTCTGACTTTGATGACCAGATCCTTGTCAACAGGAGCGGCATTGTAGAGACGAAACACAGTTGTCGACTTTCCTCCTCTTTTTATGGTGTTTTCTGTTTTACAGAAAAACAGCCCAAGTAGAACTGACTTTGGTTGGATGATGTAATGGGAGATGCGTTCAAAAGGATTACCGTGCTTAGTAATGCCTTTGATTTTCAGTTTGAGGGGTCGGGTGGGTGGTAAGAATGTCGCAATGTAGCGCTTTCCGTCAGTGTCATTTGATGTGAGGTTGACATTCTGGATGTGTTGGTTGTGTTCTGTTATGAGTTCTAGCTTCAGTGTGTGTCGGTTGATCGTGCCAGCACCAACTACATTTATGAAGAGCTCACTCGACTTTCCTGAAACAAGCAAAGCAAAAGAAGAAGCCTTTGTAAGAAAAACCTTGAAAGGCCGTGAAGCTTGTTATAGAAACGAAACAAATGGTAAATGATGGAGATTTGTCAATGTCAGACCTTACACAACTCCCCTCCATAAATGATGAGTGCATATATTTTGGCGCTCGAGAGAAGGAAGAAGGATATTACACCAATCATTTATGACCTACCATTTTCATTTACCAAAACCAATGATAAAACAATTGTATTATTGACGTCATTGGGACTCACCAATAATTGGATTTGATGTGTAGATTTCAACTTTGGACCGAGGTCTTTGAATCGTAACAAGGAAGTAGTGACTGAAGTCAACGATAGCCTCACTAGTGGATTTGACATCAAAGGTATACTTTCCTGAGATCACAGATGGTGATATCTGTAAGGACCACTGGCCTATCTCGGGGGTTTTGATCTCGTAAAGTGTAGTCGTTGATAAGGAAACTTTTTCTGAGGTTATCACAGTACCTTTGGAATAAGACAATACGACGGTTAATTCGAATAACAAGAGAATAATAATGGCCTCGCATAGGAAATTTAAATCGGAAATTTTTAGAAATTTCACTGATGTTCTTCAGCCATTCATTGGAGCAAAAGGTACCATAATTTGCTACAAATGTAAAGTTTCTCGCTTTCTGATTGGGTGAGACCCGTTTTAAATAAGAGAGCATACCAACAAATTACGAATCGCTTGCGAACGGAGCCATGCAGTAGTGCGCGCTAGAAACTGTTTCTCGGCTACGCCTTAAATAAAATGTTGACCATATGTCGACGTCATATCGTGATAAATAAGAGTACATACCACGCAAAACCATCGGAAATTTGTCATATTTACCTGATGGATCTTTCAAGACAACACCCCGGCCATCATTCCTTGTATCCGAATTGAAGCAGACTAACATGGTTTCAACAGACTCGTCAATTGGGAATTTGTAGGTTTTGTTACCAGAAGACCTTCGCTTTCTCTTTGCCAAGGGGCTAGAACCTGTGGTAATAATGTTGAACCCAGGAAGACTTTTGCCAATGTAGTTGCTCATTTTTAGCATTTCGTTTGCATTCTTGAACCGCAGTACCCGGCCTGACGTTGCTTGGGCAAGTTTGGCAAAATTGGTGTCTCCCGCCCTGCAAGGATATCCACTTCCTGTAATATTAGACAACAGTTATTTAGGTAAAAACTTTTAGATGTGAAATAGACATTTAATTCGAATATCTGTCTTACACTGCAACAGTGAGGGTCACGTGAGCTGTTAGTACAGGCCTTTTGCATAAATGTCATGGAGGCAACTTTTGACTCAATTTCCTATAACCGCTTCAGTTTTCATCCATTTGCTACGAAGAACAAAAATGTATTTCCTACCTGTTATAAAAAAATTTACGGTAATGTCAAGATTCATGGCAAAGTCGATAACGTCATCCACTAAGTCGTTGTCCTTTGCTGAAGCGTCGGTAAATACGTACAGCGGCGATCCCGTTTCAGGTGCCTCATTAAGTGCCTCCCTTATACCTTGGAAGGTTAATTCTGGGCAATCTCCTCCGCCTTTTGCTTTAAGGTTATTTATGTCGGACACAAATGATGCGTTCTCGGATTTATCTCTGAATGTAATTGGGCCCATTTCTAAACAAAAGAAAAAGTAAAGACTCGGAAGATAAGAAAATTTAAGTTATCAAAACCAATAAACACTGACCGATCGGCTGAACGATTGTCCACTGACCTACTGGCCAATAGATGGATGGATTAAATTGGTGACTGCATTAAGATAAGGCCCTTTTCATGTGACTGTTGCTGATTGGACTGTATTCATTGGTTGTTGCAGTGCAGTATATCAACATGTTACGTTTATCCAAGGTAAGGCCTATTCAAGTCCAAAGATGTATTTGTAAAGCGAATGTGCTGGACCAAGGAATGTATTGGAGTGCATATCAAATGTCCGTGAAAAACTTTGTAAGAAATTGCACAAATTAGTAAGTTCAGTAGACCTCCGTAGATCGTAGATCTTTAAAACTTTGCACTAATTTGTACGTAATTTTGTTAACTTTTTCACACGGATATATGTATGCTCTCTAAGTTAACAAATTGAGTTATTTCATCCAAAGGGTTAAGTGCATGGATCCAATCCAAAATATATGACAAGATCACCGACCCCTGGAGAGGAATCGTGCGGTTCTAATATTTGAACAGAAATAGAACTCAGTTGTGACCTTAGTGATGCGGTATTGCCGATCAAATTTATCAAGAGAACAAAACAAAAAACCATGCCATCGACATCTTCGTATTACCAATTCTTAAATCAAGTTTAGAACAAGTTTCATTCTTCCGAATAATTATGTTTCTTTTCTATTTGTCAGTTTGGTGATATCGTTGTTCTTGTTAGTCCGCTGTAGTTAAAGTAACTAGTATTAACGTCAGTGGTTCTTTCGGTTACAGTTCAACTGCTGTCAATGGCATGGAAGCTGACGGTTCGCACTTCACACACTCTTTCTCTCTCTCTCTCTCTCTCTCTCTCCATCCGTGCTCAGTTCAATAGCATCTAAAAGCTAATTAAAACAGACTACTTTTATAATAAAGGAGTCAAAAGATAGTGTATGACACACTGAGGATCCATCGTTGGACCTATTGCTTTGTTGGCAGCGCCTACCAACCTAGCTCCTAAACTTGATATTGTCAGCCAAAGATCGAGACGTTTTTCCATTCTACTCACCTGGATCTCCAAAAGGAGAAAGAATATAATTCACCGGCTTGTTTCTTTTGATGTTAATGACATCAATCGCTATTTGTTTTGCAGCGGCTATCTCGTCTGCCATACTCCCAGTTGTATCAATAGCAAACGTCAAAGTCACTTCTCCATCTACTGCAAAAAATTCGTCATATTTATCAATAGGTAATGAGGTTTTGATATCTCTTACAAACGTTGAAACTGTGCTTGCAACTGATGCTCTTCTGTGTCGCCTAGATCGACCAGTGGTTGAAGCGTTCTTGTGGATCAGGTAGAAAGCTCTACCGAGTTGGTTACGAGCAAATTGGTACATTTTCTTTTTCACTGCTTCTTGAATTGAGGTCTTGAGCAGCTTAAGCTTTTGCTGGGAATTTCGGGACCCTCTTTGAGACCCTTCAGCTATGCCTCGCTCGATTTCGTTCAGGACTTGGAGGAATTTGTTTGAATAGTGGTTAACAGCACTCGAAGTCAAAGTAGACCCACTCTTGCCACGTCCAACGACGACTGCCCTTAGTCCCATTGTTTGAAAAGTCGAATGCTTTATGATAGAATCCCTTGCTAAATCCATGGTTGAGAAAAGGTCCAGTGAACTTACGATGTGGATGGTAATTACCACTAAGATCCCCAAACGTGCGCATCTTTCAAGGGACATTTTTACAAAAGCCACAACTCCTTGTTTACTACAAAACTGAACTGCTGGCTGGAAACAAGCTGTTATATTTGTTTTGGCAGTCACAATGTAATCTAAGATGATATCTGATCCGATAGAGGTGGCCTTTAAAAAAATATTGTTCCCGGCATTAGTCTGCCATCTTTTGCGTGTGGGCTCTTCTGTTCTGTCCTTTCCTCTCTCGTGCACCTTTTTGGGTACATTTTTACAAAAGAAGATTATACTTTTACAAAAGATTACTTATTTACTGAAGCAACCGCTAGGGTGGCTGGAAGCAACCTCATATTTGTTTTGGAATTTCTTTATGATATCGGATACAAGAAATATGTGGCCCTTAACTCGTGGTTAAAAAGAAATTTGCTGTTCCCGGCAAACAATTATAGGGCATTAGTGTACCGTCTTTCACGTAAAAAATGACTTCCGGATCTCATATGAAAATACTTTTTAACGGATGGAATCCTTTGTCTGTCACAGCATGCGTCTGGGTTCTCTCCTTCTCCTTTCTCGTACAGTTTTAGGGGACATTTAGAATTTTGACGTTCCCGGTGAACAATTCAGTAGGGCATTAAGGTGCTGACACACGGTGCAACATTGCACGCAACATTGTGAGCAACAAAATTAAATTGGGGGGACACACATTGCAATAAAATCACGCAACATCGCTTGTGTCAGCCTGCTATGTTAAGATATTTGGTCAGCAGTTATAAATTTGGTGCAAGCTGATTGGCTGGAAATTTCAAAATGTTGTTGGTAATGTTGCAGCCATGTTCACATGATGAAATTTGTTGCGCGCAATGTTGCAAGAGTAGAGCGCGATTCAACTTCAGATTTGTTACATGCAACGTTGCGTTCAACAAGTTTGGGGTAAACACACACAGCAACAGTCTTGTTGCGTGCAATGCACAGCATGCGTCTGGGTTCTCTCCTCTTGTCTCCTGTACTCTTCTCCTCTCTCGTACAGCTTCCTCGTGCTTTCTTCGGAATTAAATTCTTACAGTATGTCTGAAACTTTGTTTTTGCAGGTGTTGTTTATTTCGTTTGTTAATTTTAGGTAAATTCCATGCACTCTAGAGTTGATAGAGTTTGTTTTGTGCAGTCGAGACAAATTGTTTAAGATTCTGAGTATGCCCAAACAATTGACGAATTTTTAACATTGCTAAGTTCCAAAGCTTTAGTTTACCCTTTAGGTCTACAGTGGTAATCGCTACTTAATTATACATTTTTATTCTCTGAATATTTCACAAATTAACGGACGAGGTCCACTTCGAATCATCGATTTTTGAATCATAATTTCTCCTTGGCATTTACACATGCTACAAGAAATACAGTACTATAAGCGTTAGGCAAATGAATTATGTTGATCAAATGTGTTCATCAGTTGGGATTTTGATTATTCCACTACAAGAAGCTGCACAGGCATAGACACTCTTTCCTCGCCGTTATTAACAGACAGTGAAACAAGGGCCGTATCTTTAGCGCCGACGGTAGCGTTTCTAGGTGTCGTGAACTCTATCCTAAAGAAAGCCCTCCGTCCTTTTCTAAGTGTGCGCTTATTTCTTCTTGGGTTAGCTGCAAATCCTAGTCTATCTTTTACTTCAATGTTTATTATCTTATTCACTCGGGCGGCGTTGTAGAGGCGGAAGGTGACGGTCGATACCTCTCCTCGTTTTAAAGTGAATTCGTCTCCGGAGTACAAAATTCTGAGCTGAACGGATTTTGGTTCTTCAACACCACGTGAAATTCTTTGAAACGCGTTTCCACTCTTTGTGGTGCCTTTGATTTTGAGTTTGAATGGACGGGAGGGTGAGGTAAAGGTTGCGGTGTATCGGACTCCCTCGGCGTCAGGTGTTAGCGTAATGTCCTGGATGTGGTCGCCATGCCTTGTGATAAGTTCTAACATCACTGTGTTTTTCAGGATTTTGTTGGCACCAGCTAGCATAATAATCACTTTAGTCTGTTGCCCTGCAAGTGATTCCCAAAAATACGACGTTAGTATTAATTCCTGACAAGAAGGATGCAACGGAATAACAAGGGACAAGAAGTATATTCTGGAATAATAAAATAGATAATAAAAGAATAATTTTCACGAATAACAATTCAAAGAATTAGCTTTGCTTCGCCTCAAAGCTCGTCTGATTTTGGACAACGTGAGTTAGCTTCGATTTTAAGGAGAAAAAGATTTTTGTCATAGGCTCTTGTTTGCATTACACATTTTTTAATCGATCAGGGTCATCAGTATTGAGTCCTCCAGCTTACCTATGAGTGGATACATTGATGGTACTTCATAAGGTTTGGTCCTCGACAGCACGAGTAAAAAATATTTAAAGTCAATATTTTTGTCACCGTGAGATCTGACAAAGAAGTTGTACGGGCCCACAGTGGAAGGAATAACGAGAGTCCAGACTCCTACTCTTGGACTCGTGATCTGATAGACTGAAGCTTTCGACATGGAGACCTTGCCGGAAGTAACCTTGACTCCTGCAAAAATATAAGCGGATTTGCTGCAGATCTGTATACAAATCCATGTTAAAGGCGGAAAATCAGTGCGGTATCCAAAGTTCTATATTCTACTTTATTTTTCTAAAGTTTACCGCCTTCATGAAAGAATTATAGACTGACTGCAAACGATCGAGTTTTAGTCAAATTCATTTACGGTTGATTTAAGATTTTTCGTTAAAAAATGTCTCTGTTTCATAAATACCTGTAGGATCTAAGAGAGATATTAACGGTCACTTGTTTGAGTTGTCTGTCGTAATAGAGATAGATATGGATTTTGCTGAATCGTCAACCCAGATGCTATATCTTTTACTCCCTACACTGCGCTTCCTGCGTGTTGTTCGACTGGAACCCGAGGTGATGGTGCTGGATTCATCAATGCCACTTTTTGTTAAACTCTTTAAAAGGCCAAGCTCCCCGCTACCACTTAAACGTAACACTTGTCCTGACGTAGCCTCTGCTATTTTTAAAAAGGGATTGTCTACTATGGATTTACCGCATAGGCTGCCTAAAAAAGGAGAAAAGAAGACACGATGTGATTGGAACGATTGGGTAGATCAAACCGCGGTGGAAAGGATTTCTCCGTCTCTATATCTCTATCTCTTTCCCTCTCAAGGGGTGTGCTTTATGCAGGACAGTTTGGCATTGTTAAGTCAGAGTTTTAACTGTTTAAAAACATTCTACGTCTCAATAAGCACTGTTGCCCACTATTCAGATAATAGCTTTATTTTGATAGATTGGAAGATTAGATTAGGGGCTGCCAGTATTTCTTTTTTCACATCCCATAATTTTGAATGATTTCCCCAAAGCAACCCTCTCAACGAGCTCTTGCGTCAATCTCAGTCTGTACCAATTATTTTCTCAAGAAGAAGAAGAAGAAGAAAAAGAAAAAAAAGAAATATTGTTTTGATGTGCAAGTCTACCTGTTGTATAAAAGTTGATCGTTATATCTTCATATTTTGCCATAGTAATAACGTCTCTGATATTTTTGTCGGTGGCATCCTTAGCTGAGGCATCAGTAAACACGTACAGCGGTGACCCTGGGTCTGGTCCTTCGTATATGGCATTTAAGATGCCAGTCATAGTAAGTTCAGGACAATCTCCCCCGCCTGAGGCTCTGAGATTGCTTATGGCTTTTACAAATCCTGCTGCATTGGTGTTTTCTTCAAACACAACTGCTCCTGTTTCTATTAAAATAATCATTACCATGAACGTAAGAATGTACTCAGTATTTAATTGGCTTGCATTTATTTATGAAAACAAACATTAATTCTATCCTAAAATGGAAGCCATAGTGCTCAAATATGTTCATTTCAAGGCACATCCAAAACCGTTTGTTGCCAAGAGAATAGCAATGCAAGACGGCATGGAGCAAATCCGACCAGAGTTAAGGTCCCTCTACCCAAAGGCGCAATAACTGATACTGCGTTGAGTGTATAGGTATGAAACAACGTAGACTAAGTCTTAACTTTCTATTTCATCTATATAGAACAATGAGAATACAGAATACAAGGGAATAGGTGATGATTATATCACTTACCGGGATCACTAAATGGTGCCAGAATGTAATTGACTGGATTTTCTCTCAGATAGTTCACCACATCGATTGCCATACGTTTGGCTGTCTCAATCTCATCAGACATGCTCCCAGTTGTATCAATAGCAAACATAAGTGTCACGTCTCCCCTTACAGCCATTAATTTATCAAACTTATCATCTCCTATCGATCTCTTCAGATCTTTAATGAAAGATGACGTATCGGGTGCTGTTGATCTTTTCGACCTCGAAGTGCGTCTAGAATTGTGATCATCGATGAGGAATAATGCCTGTCCAAGTCGCTGCCGAGCAAACTGATACATACGTTTGTCAACTGCAAGTGTGATAGTATTTTTGATGGTTTTGATCTTCTTTTCGGAATAGCGCACTCTTGGTCCGGCAGTTCTTGCTTGTGCAACGCCCACTTCGATGTCATTAATAGCGTCGAAAAATGTTTTTGAAGGTGTCGAGCGGCTTGTGTAGGTCTTTATCTCCTTAACAAACGTTAAGGCCTCCTTTTTCAACTTGGGCTGGAAAAGTTCTACCGTTCTATCTGAGCCACGGAAGTACCTCATCATGTTGCGACGAACAAAGTCTTCACTCGGAGAACCATTTGTAGGAAGTGGGAACGGAATGCCAGTGGGACTGAAAGAGATATTAGTTGGAAGTGACATTGGCATGCTGGTGACGTTGGGAGATAAAACAGTTGGAGAAATTGCAGTCGCATTTTCTCCGCTCGTCGGTAAATCTGAGACTTTGTGGCCAATGCTAGTGGGACCGAAAGAGATATTAGTCGGAAGTGACATTGGTATGCTGGTGACGTTGGGAAGTATAGTACTTGGAGGAGCTGCAGTGGTTTTCTCCACACACATCGGTAAATCTGAAACACCAAAGAAAGAAGAGATTCTTAATGCAAAGACGCAAAAAGCGGCAACCAATGCCTTCAGCACCATGTTTAAACCAAACCAGCCGCCTGAATGCCGATTTCTGAAAGCTTGTTAGTTTTTATAGCCAATGGCAGTGGGCGGACCTGTAATTCAAAGCGTTACAATGTACATGTTGTGTCATTACCCGCATACCGCTGGAAGAGTTACGACTTCGTGGATGTGGCGGCCGGTTTCACTGATTCACTATTATTTTATTATGTTCTGGATTCTTCTTTTGAACAATCCTTGCAATTACCAAGATACTGCCTTTTGTCAAAAAGAACCTGGAATAATGTCCATTTTGTCCTATTCTTTCATACGTGTTGTTGAAACCCGATCCATGCAAAGAACTCAATGCCAGACCGCCTAAGAACTGAGCCGGGACAGGGGAGATTGTTGTTTACATGGAACTTGAACTCGCATTGATAAATCAGGCTTCAGTATTTGACAAATTATATTTGCAATTATAAGTACGCAACGCACGTCCTTATATTTCAATCTATTTTATTTCTGTTTCTCAGAGAACCGGCATCTCTTTGATTTCACCAAGTTATGAGCCCAGGCAAGCTAAAAAGGGTTTCAGGAAAAGGGAGGAAGCAACTGCAGAGATAATACACCGATCAGTAGTTTCACATGAATCAGTTTAGAATCACACGATGTCACCAACAGCAGGCCATGAAATGTGGTAAACAAGGTCAATTACCTGTAGGAATGATGTTATTGATATACTAGAGTTATGTCAATGGTATTTTTATATTATATGAGGGTATTGTATAATAAATATGTGCAATCTATCGCTGTACATGTCTTTAATTCCATCAATAACATCAACCGTATTACGGAATAGCCTTTGACTATGCCCTCGGCCCTTTAGGATATTTAGTTACTTCCGGCTATAATTACTTAATGTAAGAAACTACCTCCCTTCATTTTCTTACCTTTTGGATTCCTTAATGGTTTTTGAAAAGTTCTAAGTAAAACTTAAGTCTTTATATAGTTATTGATTTKCTTTTTTAAAGGTGCTGAAGATTTCGTATTTACGGTTGCAACAATTTGTTCCAGATGCTGGGACTGTTGGTCCCTTGTTTTTAACAAATAAGCACCATCTTCTTTGGTTCCAGTTTTATATCCACTTATAGATTTAACGTACGCCTGGACTTGCGAACTAGTAGTTCAACAGTAGCTGACCTCCTCAAAGGAAGCATCACTCAACTCCCTCGTGAGAAAGGCCACAAATAGCTACAAATAGGTAAACAAGGACAAGGAAGGAGTTTATCTGAAAAGATCTTGCCTGTGAGTAACAACATGTTTGGCTCTCACAAGACTGACCACTTAACCAGCTTATATATTTTCAAATATAATGGAATGCAGACCACTATGCTGTTTTCTGCCAGCAGAGTCTCAATCTCTCTCTCTCTCTCTCTCTCTCTCTCTCTCTCTCTGCCCATTTTTCCATTTTCTTTGCCCAGAATCGATAACGAGGGAGACTCTACTATAGCAGGGAACCTGTGTTGTTGTGTACATTTAAGGGTACAGTGTTGTCTTGGCCCTATGGGATGGTTTAGTATATTATGTACAATATATAAGAGGTATAAAGATACAAATTACATTTTTACACGTCTTACCAGGTTTCTTAATTTTTATTGACTTGCGATATATTTTATGGCATGTTTTATTTTGAAAAATTCTATTTGAAAATCGCATTTGATGTTGGCCCGAACTTGCAAAATCGTAGTTCAAATGTGTGGTCATTTCAAAGAAGCGCATATCTCCCCGCCCCCCCCGCCCCCCCATAAGGTCAGTTTCAGTTGAAAGGAATCACTTTTTATACTTGAACTCAAAAGCGTAATCGAAAGCACTGTTTTTACTCGAGAGTGCATGCATTATTAGTATTGATTTACTCGAATGAGCGTTTATTTCTGAATCGCGCTCTCTCTTTCTTCTCATGGTCTCTCGATTTACTCTGATTGCTGACAGTCGTTCCTTCATTTTAAGTCTTTTGCTAAAATGAATAAAAGTAACGATCAAAAGTACCCTCCATTGGACTTCAAAATGACGCAGGCAATTGCGCACAGTAGGACCGATACGTCAATCAAACGCAAACAGTCTTCCTTTCTTTTGGGACCTTGGGGGTAAGGGGGATGGCAGGATCAGACTGATCAACCACTGCAGTAAAAATGTACAAAGAATATAACAAAGTACTTTATTATTATTGACAAGAACAAGATTCCATCCACTAAATGTTACTGAAACAAATCGGTCAATGTTTTTCGTAATGGATAAAAGTTTTAAGAAGTTTTACGCTACTACAATGAGCTGTAGAGGCTGTGATAGTCTCTCAGCACCATTATTAACCGAAAGACTTACAACAGCGGTATCACTAGTACCGATATTAGCACCAGCAGGTGTTGTGAAGGTTATTCTAAAGAAGGTTGCCCGTCCTCTCCTAACTGTACGAACATTCCCTTGAACTCTGGCATATCCAAGACGATCTTTGACTCGTATGTTGACCACTTTGTTTACGTTTGCAGCGTTGTAAAGATGGAATGTGACGGTAGAGCTCGTTCCTCTGCGTAGAGTAAAGTCATTGCTTGAATGTAAAACTCTTAGTTGAATAGACTTGGGTTCTACGATGTTACGAGAGACTCGCTCAAACTGGTTGCCACTATTTGTGGTACCTTTGATCTTTAGCTTGAAGGGTCGGGAGGGTGGGGTGAAGGTTGCTGTATAGCGCACTCCTCTGCTGTCAGGCGTCAGTTGGATGTCTTGGATGTGTTTGCCATACTTTGTGATCAGTTCTAAAACAACTGAGTTCTTACGGATTTTCTCGGCACCGGCTACTGTCAAGACCAGTTTACTTGGTCGCCCTGCAGTGGATTTAGACAAAACATTTCTATTGAGTTTCTTTTGAGCCTTGAACTGAGTTTCTCTATGTTTTTTATCGACTTACCCAACAGTGGCTCTGGTATCGGGACTTCAGAGGGAGGTCTTCTAATTGTCCTCAAAAAGTAGTATTCAAAGTCGATGTTGGAGTCACTAGTGGACTTGACAAAGTAATTATGCAGTCCAGCACTTGGAGGAATGACTAGGGTCCAGGTCCCTACTCTGGGACTAGCAATCTCATAGATCGAAACCTTGGACATGGAGACTTTCCCGGATGTAATCGTCACTCCYAAAGAAAAGAATATAAAATTATTGTAAGATCACGTGTCATTCTCTTGAGAATAAGATTCTTTGCTTGAGTTGTATCCATAGTTTATGTGTCTTCTCATGCCACGACCCTTAAACAAAGAAATGATACTCTAGGGAATGACATGTGGTCGAAAATGGGAAAACATTATTCCCAAGATAAAGTGGTCTATCCAGCTCCTTGAGGTTTTGACAGAGGTCGCTGACTGTAAACGTTTGTGTTGAGAAATGCGTCCAACTCTAAACTATTTCGTCTAAACACTCTCAACTCAATCCCTCATGCCTATTAATTAAAATTTCTTTTTTTCATCTTTTCGAGGTACTATATAAGGACATTTCCAAAACTTGTTTCTAACGTAGCTGTTCATTTGAGCAGTCTAATACATTATAGGTGTGGTTTTTAGTTTCTTCTTTTCGTTATCTTATTTCTTAAGCAATAATTTCAAAATTAATTAATTAATTAATCTCTAGCAGGAAGAAATAACTGCGACATTTTGGGATGGTGGTGATGGATTAGGTGATGGATGGTTTTTTAGTTTCTTCTTTTCGTTATCTTATTTCTTAAGCAATAATTTCAAAATTAATTAATTAATAAATCTCTCTAGCAGGAAGAGATAACTGCGACATTTTGGGATGGTGAGGGGGATGGGTGGGTAGATTTTATGAGAGCTATGCAGTGGAAATTGAATGGAGTACATTATAAGTATAAAACTACAGAATTTACAATATCCTTCTTCGCAAATCAACGCGCGTGTGAGTGCTTTCTGTTCATGTAATCAATTGAATGGAGTTGGATTGAATGGAGTAGATCATAGATATCGAACAGTACGGAATTTACGACTTCCTTTTTCACAAATCACCCCGAGCGTGAGTGATTTCTGTTCATTCAATCAGAATGCTAGGATATTACATGGTCACGACATGGCAGGCAGGCATACCTTGGATTGGTCACTGCATGTTGTACAAGAAATACCACCGTTCGAGAAGAATTAATGAAAAATACTACGCACATTTGATGGAAGTGGCTTAATGTGGTATTTCCTTTTAATAATACATCTATATAAAGTACGCGTTTCTGAAGTAAAAAAAAGAAGAAGATAGCATCCGACTCCACTTTTTCATTTCAAAAAACAACACGCGGAAAAAAGTTCCCGGATGTATGCGATAATTAATTGGACGCCCGCGCACTGGGACTAAGAAAAAAATCACGTCCAATCAACCAATTAGAAACAAGTATTTTATGTAGATGTGGTATTAATACCAAAACCGCAGGCTATAATACTTGTAATTAGTCATACGACCTTTAACTAAGATTTTCTGTTTACAGGAACTCACCTTGAGAATCTGTCAGAGAGATTGCTGCTCCTTGGTTTGGACGGTCKGTGGTGACACAGATAGACATCTTGCCTATCGAGTCATCAATCTTRATGCTGTACCTACTAGCTGTCAAAGCTGCTCGCTTCTTGCGGTTGGAAATATTTGACCCAGAGCTGATGATATTGGATCCTCCAAGAACACTTCCGGTAAAGCCGTTGAGATTTTTTAGCTCTGTCGTACTGGTGAGACTGAGCATTTAACCGGAAGTGGCTTCAGCTATTTGCATGAAAGGACTGTCCGTCACACTTGACCCGCTACATTGACCTATCAAGCACAACGTTGGAATGATATTTAAAAGGTAAGCTTCAAATTGAAAAAGTTTATTTTTTTTACTTTATGACAGTCACGTGACCCGGGACTCCAGAGTTCCCATACTTTATTAAAATATAATTTTTATCGCTAAAACGCGTAATCAACATTTTTGATCGCAAGGATAGCTGCACRAATCTCAGGGTAAAAATATTTTAGTCAAGCAGAAAAGAGTTTATTGCTGTTTAACTTAGCGAATTGCTGATTATCATTAACTTGGGTTGCACTGGTTGTGTCGGCTAGTCATGATGTGACGTCACAGTCCAATTAATCTTAATACTTCTAACTTAAAGTTGTAAATAATACCTGTTGTGAAAAAATTGATCGTAACTCCCAAATACTTGGCCATTGATTTGACTTCTGCGATGTTTTCTGGAGTGGCATCTTTGGCTGAAGCATCGGTAAATACGTACAGCGGTGATCCCCAATCAGGTCCCTAATACATTGCATCTAGGATTCCCTTCATTGTTAGCTCAGGACAATCTCGACCACCTTTGGCTTTGAGTTTACTGATGGCATCTACGAACAGCGCACCTTCGGTGGTTTCTTTGAAGGTTACTGGTCCAGTAGTTATTAAAATAGAGCAGGAAAACGTTATATTTTTAATGAAAAACGGGGATAATAGGTAGTTTATCGGATGGAGAAGATGGCTGAGGAAATTAGAGGAACTGATTTTGATATGGATCTTACTCTTTTGAAAACTTGAAAAAAGAAAAACTGTTTTTTCAATCGTGCTCCCGGCTTCTCGCCTGCCTCTCAGTTGTACACTCGCCTACTGGTCTTTGGGAAGTTGACGGAGGTTGAAGCTTANTTCACATTAGAGGAAATGCGATCTGTGATATCGTTAATGTATAGCAAGAAGAGGATGGGACCTACGATTGTACCCTGAGGTGTTCCAGATACCACTGGAAGCCAGTTTGAACAAGTTCCTCTTATAACCACACGTTGGTGTCGATTAGTGAGAAAATTTCTGAACCATAGAAGTAAGCTCCCGCATAATTAATTGGACGCCCGCGCACTGGGACTAAGAAAAAAAATCACGTCCAATCAACCAATTAGAAACAAGTATTTTATGTAGATGTGGTATTAATACCAAAACCGCAGGCTATAATACTTGTAATTAGTCATACGACCTTTAACTAAGATTTTCTGTTTACAGGAACTCACCTTGAGAATCTGTCAGAGAGATTGCTGCTCCTTGGTTTGGACGGTCTGTGGTGACACAGATAGACATCTTGCCTATCGAGTCATCAATCTTGATGCTGTACCTACTAGCTGTCAAAGCTGCTCGCTTCTTGCGGTTGGAAATATTTGACCCAGAGCTGATGATATTGGATCCTCCAAGAACACTTCCGGTAAAGCCGTTGAGATTTTTTAGCTCTGTCGTACTGGTGAGACTGAGCATTTAACCGGAAGTGGCTTCAGCTATTTGCATGAAAGGACTGTCCGTCACACTTGACCCGCTACATTGACCTATCAAGCACAACGTTGGAATGATATTTAAAAGGTAAGCTTCAAATTGAAAAAGTTTATTTTTTTTACTTTATGACAGTCACGTGACCCGGGACTCCAGAGTTCCCATACTTTATTAAAATATAATTTTTATCGCTAAAACGCGTAATCAACATTTTTGATCGCAAGGATAGCTGCACRAATCTCAGGGTAAAAATATTTTAGTCAAGCAGAAAAGAGTTTATTGCTGTTTAACTTAGCGAATTGCTGATTATCATTAACTTGGGTTGCACTGGTTGTGTCGGCTAGTCATGATGTGACGTCACAGTCCAATTAATCTTAATACTTCTAACTTAAAGTTGTAAATAATACCTGTTGTGAAAAAATTGATCGTAACTCCCAAATACTTGGCCATTGATTTGACTTCTGCGATGTTTTCTGGAGTGGCATCTTTGGCTGAAGCATCGGTAAATACGTACAGCGGTGATCCCCAATCAGGTCCCTAATACATTGCATCTAGGATTCCCTTCATTGTTAGCTCAGGACAATCTCGACCACCTTTGGCTTTGAGTTTACTGATGGCATCTACGAACAGCGCACCTTCGGTGGTTTCTTTGAAGGTTACTGGTCCAGTAGTTATTAAAATAGAGCAGGAAAACGTTATATTTTTAATGAAAAACGGGGATAATAGGTAGTTTATCGGATGGAGAAGATGGCTGAGGAAATTAGAGGAACTGATTTTGATATGGATCTTACTCTTTTGAAAACTTGAAAAAAGAAAAACTGTTTTTTCAATCGTGCTCCCGGCTTCTCGCCTGCCTCTCAGTTGTACACTCGCCTACTGGTCTTTGGGAAGTTGACGGAGGTTGAAGCTTATCTTTCAACATTATGTTTGCATTACTTCAGACATGAACTAAAACTAACTAAATATACATTATTACTTACTTGGATCACTGAATGGCGATAGGATGTAATTCACTGGATTCTCTCGTGGATAGTTTATAACATCCACTGCAATGCGTTTGGCTGTGTCAATCTCATCAGCCATGCTCCCAGTTGTATCGATAGCAAACATGAGTGTCACGTCTCCCATTACAGCCATGAATTTGTCGAACTGAGCTTGGCCCAGTGTGCGCTTCAGGTCGTTGATAAAAACTGAGGCTTCATTTTGGGTCGATCGTCTTGATCTTGATGTACGAATAAAATCGTGCTCTTTGATGACAAATAGTGTTTCTCCAAGCTTGTGACGACCGTACGTTAACAGCCTGTTACGAACTGCAAGTTCGATAGTTTTCTTCATCTTTTGAAGCTTTGCTGATGAGTAACGGATTCTTTTCTGGGCTCTTGCATTTGCGACGCCACGTTCTATAGTTGTTAGAGCCTCCAAGAAAGCATTGGACGGGGTTGAGCGGGATTGAGTTCACGGAAAATATTCAAAAATACCGATGATAGTGCAATAGATTTTATAACTATTAATTCACAAGTAATAATATGTTGATCAGGCAGCTTATTATCCAAGTACTTTTTTTATTCTATCATATTGCAAGAAGGGGTAGGGGTGGTGGGGTTGGTTTACTCTATAGGAAATCATTACGTTTAAAGAAGGTAGTTTTCAAACAGTTTAAGTCATTTGAGACTTTAGGTATGCTTGTTTATTCCTCCCCTACTAACATCTTACTTTTTGTTGTCTACAGACCTCCTCCTTCAAAACGTAACAATCTGTCCAACAAGCTCTTTTTTGAGGAGTTTTCTCTGTTTCTGGAGCATTTTGCCACCCATCCTAGTTCACTTCTGATAGTTGGTGATTTCAATTTTCATGTTGACGATGCATCTAACACAGCTGCAAAGCAATTTCTCGATCTATTGCAAATATTATTTAAAGCAGGTTGTTGATCAACCTACTTATCAAGATAAGCATGTGCTAGATCTTGTTATTATGCGATCATCTGATCATATCGTCAACAATATTTCCGTTTATGATCCTGTAATATCTGATCACTCTGCCATCCTTGGTGATGTATGTATAAAGAAACCACCTCCGGTTCGAGTAGTCACTCGTTGTCGTAAGCTTAAGGGGATGGATATGCAAAGCTTTACCAAGGAAATTGCTGGATCTTCTCTTTTGCTATCACCTGACAGAGATCTAACTGACTTGGTCCAGCAATACGATTCTGTGCTCTCTTCTGCATTGGATTCCTATGCACCGTGCATTGAACGTACTGTTACTAAACGCCCATCAGCGCCTTGTTACACACCTGAAATCAAAGCTGAGAAGACTAAACGTCGAAAATTGGAGCGTAAATGGCGTCGATCTCGTCTCACTATAGACCGTGAGCTTTATGTAAAACAATGTCATGCCGTTAGGGAACTGATAGTTTCTGCTAAACATGATTACTACTCTAACATCATCGACGAGCATCAGTCAAACCAAAAGGTGTTATTTTCTACCTTTACCAAGGTACTTCATGTCAATGCGGAGAAACACTATCCCGAGTGTACGTCATCAGATCAACTTGCAAATTCGTTTGCAGATTATTTTGAGGATAAGATCCGCCTCATCATACAACATGATTTACAAGGTGTTAAGCCTGTATACGTCAAAATTAAAGATGATTCATGCAAAAGTCGTTTCTTATCTTTCAGCGAAATTACATCAAATGACCTCTCAACGCTGATTACTCCTTTGACTTCGAAATCATGTAACCTGGATCCTATCCATGCTATTGTTATGAAGCAGTGCTTTGATATGCTATTTCCCACCATCACAACGATCGTCAATCTTTCGTTGACTTCTGGGGTAGTGCCGTCACAGTTAAAAGAAGCCATGATTTGCCCGTCGTTAAAGAAGCAGACTTTGCCTTTTGAAGAATTTTCGAGTTTTAGACCCATCTCTAACCTAACCTTCTCAGCTGGTTGACTACTTGGAGGAAAATGATTTGCACGAAACATACCAATCTGCATATAAGAAACACCACAGTGTAAAAACCGCGCTGTTAAGAGTCCAAAATGACATCTTACGTGCCATAGACAATCAATGTGTTGTTTTCCTAGTTTTACTCGATTTGTCGGCAGCCTTTGACACAATCAATCACAACATTTTATTAAAAAGGATTGCAACAAGATATGGCATTGGTGGACTTGCGCTGGAATGGTTCAAGTCTTATTTATCCAATCGTAAGTCATTTGTTAGTTTGGAAGGTGGTAAATCTGATCTTCGTAGCTTTAACAATGGGGTGCCACAGGTTCTGTTTTAGGGCCTGTTCTTTTCATATTGTATACCTCACCAATTGGTGACATTGTTCGTAGCTATGACGTAAATTTCCACCTCTATGCCGCCGACTCTCAATTGTATATTACCTCTTCCTCCATCGTCTTCTCTGTCCCAGCTTGATCCTGCAAAATCAAAGCTTGAAGCTTGTGTGGGTGAGATCGACAGATGGATGATGCAGAATAGCTTGAAGATGAATGGTGATAAGACTGAAGTGCTTTTACTATCTTCTTCTTATCGTCCCAGGCCTACTACTGACTCAATCAAAATCTCGGGTCATAACATCTCAATGGCCGCTAAAGCACGCAATATTGGTGTTATATTCGATGAGAATATGTCTCTTGAACACCACATTTCATCAATGTGTAAATCCTGCTTTTTCCACTTAAGAAACATGCACCTATTCTATGTAGCCTTCATTGGCTACCTGTCGAGCAGCGAATTCAATACAAGATCTTACTTGAACACTAAATGTATATATTATGTTATGCACTTGATTAGTTATGATCGATCTAGTGATCGAATACGTTTGGTTCTAAACACGAAGTAATGTTGGTGTACAGTAAGTAACACTCAAAGTCTGAAAAGTAACATTCAAAGTGTCATCGAGTTGAACGCCTGCAAGCATGAAAATTCAACTTGCAATCCACGATAGGATGGCTTTGTAAAGCTACAAAATCAAGGCAATTACAAATTCTGCGATGCATAACATGACAATCAGTTCGCCACATAATAATAGCAAATCTGCAACTAAATGGAGAGGCAAAGAAAGCAGAAAAATATAGTAAATAACCAGAAACATCATAGCTCTTCTCCTTTTTTCATATTCTAAGAAAGCAAATGAAAACGCTCCTAAGCCTTGTTGTC